TGAGAGCACGAAGCGTGCAATTAAACCCCCCCGCATAAACTATAGAATATTTATGTAAATTTTTGCAAATATTAAAGAGTAAAACTTTGTCTCTGGTCTGACCCCAATCCGAGTTGTTGTGCTTCAAATGAAGCAGACAGCGGGAGGACTTGTGTGTAGGATTAGGGTAGGGTAGAGTCGGGTCCACTCCCATTACCCAGTTGGGTTCCTGTGCAGGCGGACATAGTTCTTTCTGTATATAATAAATGCGGATTTATTTACCCTTTAAGATAAAGCAAATTCTCTCCTACTGTTAGATATTTGAAGGCATTTTAAAACCCAAAAAGGCCACTCCCCAAGTTCGTTTTAGATTTTTGTATACTTAACTATTTATTTAAAAAGAAAATTATTCGATTGGTCTATTTTCCGCACGATAGAGTTTAATTGCATTGAACACTTTTTGAACAATTTTTGTAAATTATAATTATAATTATGGAGATATGCAGTATTTTGTACAATCCATTTTTATTTCAGTTTCTGTTCATAAGGTCCTCTTCGAACACAAAACTCGCATTCGTATCGAACTGTAGCTTCCTATCAAAGTACCATCGAATCATCAATAAATAATCACCAGTCGGCAAAGGTACCTGCAGCAGGTCAGGTCTTAGATAAAAATCCTTAATAATCTGTGGACCCTATAATGGGAATTTGAAATGCTTTAGCACTAGTGTGAAACAAACTTTGGATTATTGTATTACTATAAAGGGGCATGTGTGATTTATATTGGTGTACTGTTTGAAGAGCGCATAAATGATTCCAACAAGGGGATTATTTGGCTTTCGAAAATACTGACAGATATCAACTTTGACCTCATAAAGCCATGGCTTATAGCCATTGGCCCTTTTAAATATCTTTCCATATGCTGATGCATCGTTGACCGGATGTAATATCGTCCCATTCATATTGAAAGTCACTTTGTTTCGACTGACGGCCTTCAGACGACAATTTTGGAATACGAACCACGATTTATTGTAACTCTCGCAGACCAAGTTCGTAAACTTGAAAACTAACGCATCCTGAAAGGAGCTCATAATGCAGGATTAACACATTTCGTAACAAGTATTGGGATTTACTTACATGCTGATCGAATATTGAAGTTAGAAATATTCCGAATAGAACACAGAAGATTAGCTTGGACTTCATTGCTACTGAACGAATGATCAACGAATGGCCGTTTAATTCTAATAATGAAATAATCCTAGTCAGTTTTTATGCGCACGAGTAGTTTTTTTCACATTTTACACATTTATCTATTCGGTAATCGTGTTTGGATTGTATTTAAATGTACATATGATATAATATGAAGAGAAATTTGTATTTGTGTGCCAATTAACCAATGTATAATTATCTTCTGCAGCGTTTTCCTAATACAAACATTAAAATTAATGTGTCTATTAGTCCAAACTTGATCTGCTTATGCTAAGGATGAATTCAGGAGCTCTTTGCCTGGCTATTCGAGAGAACCATGTGTTTGGTTATCATGAAATTCATGAATGCCTGAGCCTTGTAGAGTAACTAACACTTCGGTCCTTGTGTTCGTTCGGTCCTGCTAAAGTACAACACGTGGAAGTGAGAGGCAGCAAAAAGAACGCGAAAGAGTGAGAATATGAAAATGAGAACATCAGTTGAAAAACTTGAACAGTAAAGGCGTTAAATGATGTCAGCAGGATGTATGCATATACATAAATATGTATGCATAATCCACAAAGGATGCTGCGCTGTGCCACTAGGAAATTGAATCGTTTAATCGATGATGTCACTGGAGGTGGTAGCGTGGGAGCAACTCTTGCGGCAGGCTATAAAATTGATTTTGCATTAAAATTCGTTTAAGAAGCAAATTCCGTTTGCTGCTTACCGAAGTGCGAAACAAAATTTGAGGCGTGGAAACAACACTAAAAATCAATTAAATTCCTATTTATATAAATAATAGAAATTAAAAAAAAAAAGATACAACAAAAAGTGGAAAGAGGCGCCTCGCCGATTCTTATTCGCTCTCTCAGTCTCTTCCTCTCTGTGCCTCTCAATCTGCGGCTGTGGCTGTGGATGGGAAAATGTTTGGCTCGTGGCTCTGTTGGGTTGCTGTTGGCCAACCGCAGCATCGTTTGCTGACCCAATTTTGACCGGCTAAGAATAGCGAAAAATGCTTGTCGGTTTCGAGCATCGTTCTGCGTCAAATTACAACCGAGAGAAGTGCAGCAGGCAGCAGCAGTGACATCTCTCAGATACTCGTACTTTCAGTTTACAACTATGCTTTAGGAACTATCCTGCAGAAAATCATTCATTTAGGATAATTATTCCCACACAATAACAAATAATTTTTGTCATCTTAAATCTAAACTGCAGAATTATTTTGAATTCGGGATAATTTATTAAACCCATTCTGTCATCGCTTGGAACATCTCTAATTAATTAAATGCATATAATTTATTTATTCACGTCCCCCATTTGCTGCCAAGTAAATTACATGAACGAATTTATAACAATCAGAACTGCCCAGTCCGGGTCCGAGTCCCATACCCATTTGTTGGCGCCCAACCAAAAGCCGGCGACAAGTTTTATTCCAATTACAAAAACTATACGAATTTTCTCATCATTTTTCACTTGTCATCTTGTTGCAAAGAGGCCAAAAGAAAAGCGCCAGAGGGCGTGTGCATCTCTTTACGTCTCTTTAATTGTCACACTCGAATGAATATGCATTTCCATTTATTTTGGGTTTGTCTTTCGGCTTAAATATCTAAAGATTCAATCTACATACATTTGAAAACGTTTCTCAGGCATTTCCGCATTGTTGTTCTCGTCATAAATCAATTTGTTGCAATCTAAACAATTCCGCGTGAATATGTCTGTCTGCGTGTCGATCAATTGAGTCGTAGGTACCAAAATTAGAGAACAAAACACACACAGACCTGACATACACAAATCAATCAAGCGTCGCTGACTATTTGCATATTTCTTTATGCCCCCAGAGGCGAGAATTCTCGAGTCCCCACAGAGTTGCACAGTTTTTTTGGGAGGGAGGAGGTGCTAAAAAAACTTGATTTGAATTCAAGCTGTGATTTATTACCAACGCAACTTTATTATAAATACCATATATTAATCACAAAAGAAAAATTCTTCCGTTCATATTTTTCTTTGCCAAAAATACTCGAAATGTGTGGCAATTTATTGAAAGGACGAGAAACTTTGAGACACGACATGAAAATTTCACTTACAAATAAAAGAAACGCTTTAAAATTGTCGTCACATTTCTCGTATTTCCATTCGGCAATTCTTAAACAAATAAAAATGCCAAAAATATATTCAAATTACGTGACTGACATCGTCAAATCACAGAAATGGATTAGAAAGTGTTCAAGCGATTTCTTATCGGCGGCAATTACCAATAACTTCCAATTGCGTCTTCCCCGCTGCTCACCTTTGGTCCCACGATATTGAAAACATTTGTTCGATGCGTTCTCATTTGTAGATACAATATCTATAAATCTATAATTAGAGTATTCTTCATGTTTTACGTTACTTTTTTTCGATTGTGACAAAAGTTCTCACGTTGCTTGTTCTGGGTTGATTTCGATTCCCTTGTCGGTTGGTTGGGTTGGTTTGGGGTTGGGGTTGACTTTTCCTGACTTTTGTTCCATCTGTCTCCCCATTGTGTCTTTGTCAGTGGCTTTTGCAGGGAAACAAGCCTTAAATATGATGCCACTGCAGGGGCGAAGCCTCATTAACGAACAAGTGGCACCTCCATGCACATCGTAAGGCAAAAAGGACTTGAAAATTTGAATAAATAAATAAAAATAATATAAATTAAATAACGACTAAAAAAATATTATCAAACGCGGAAAGTACTAAAAAAAAGATTTCTTCAGGTGAGGAACAAACGAAAATCAATTAATTTGTTTATAAATGGTGGAAAATCGTTTGGGAGGGAGCGACTGCTGAGCATGGTCTATTTCAAATAATTATTAAAATTTTCCTGGCCATGGGCCAAGATTTCTTTGCTTTTCCTTTCGGAATTTTCAATTTAATTTTACTCTCTCTCTCTCTCTTGAGAGAGTGAACCTTGATCTTGTCCGGCAACAGCAGGGGCCATGTGCAACACTTTAAAAGCTATGAAATGTGTTTTCCATCCATCTCTCTGCATGTCTCTGCTTCTATTTTGTATCTGCGAGTAATTGTGGATATTTGTGTTGCCGCCCACCCTTGAAAAATGTGGCCAAAGATGAGTCATTTCGCTCGGTTCAGTGTTAACCCCACAGAATGGAAATGTGTTCACCCTTGTCGCGGTTCGTGGCTTGTGGCTTCTCCCTGTTTAATTTGAATTTGAGTTACCCTTCCTGCCTCAACAAACAAAGCGTTGTGCGGGCGACAGTCTCTCCCCGGAGATGCAAAACAGACAGCAACAAAAAATCGATAAGCGCTAAAGTTGTTATTTTCTTTGGACTTTAATTTGTATCAGCCCAACCCCCAAACCCACGCAATGACATAATATTCTGGCTACTCCCCCAGCAGAGTGTCCCCACAAGGCTGTTGTTTAAAGACCGAAAAAGAGAAGGACACAAGAAAAAGAGAAAGAGAGTGGTAGGCGTCGAGTTGTCGCCAATTGACTGGATCCCCCCTTGGGTGGTGTTTTCCCAAGAGCTTTGGACTGATGGTGGGGGGTCATTGTGCGTGCTCTTTTTACGACTTTCTTGGCGCCAATACCCCCTCCAATGAGACATTAGTAATAAGAAATTAGTTTGGCATTGAGCAAGGCATTTTTTGTTGACTTGAATTTGTCGGGTATGGTTTGCCAAAAAAGGATTGATATATCCTTTGGCATTTGCTGAGAGCTTGATATCCCGCATTGTAATTGAAGGGGTCCCTTCCCATTATACGGATTTGCTTTTGTTTGAATTTCTGAAAAGATTTCAACACAACAACCTTTGCCAAAGCAATTCCCTGTCAAAAGAAATTCAAGAACAGAGGAGTAAAATCTACACAAATATCTCTTTAGCGCAAATTCTAAATTGTTTACCGAAAATTCCTTCTTTCGATAATGAATCGGAATCCAAATCCCACAAGTCTTGGAAGGCAGAAGGGAGCCTTGGTGCTGGAGGTGCTTAAGGTGTTGGGTCGACCCGCCAGCATTTCGGAGGTGGCCGAACGGGTATCCACGGTGTACAAGCTCCCACTGCAGCCCATCCAACCCGTTGTGGCCGATGTGCTGAGAGCGGGCGTGGCTAACGGATTCTTCGAGTGCCGCTTTGGCTGCTATTCGATGGTGCCCAGCGTGGTGGAGCAATTGAGACGGGATATTGATGAGTATGCTGTCAGAGTTCTTACCAGGAAAACAGCTCAGCTATCGCCGCTGATGAAGATGCTCCAGCGGTTAGATGAATCTCCGCTAGTGCCTGGGAATAGCAATCGTTTGGTGTACATGCACGATCCAAACTATCCACAGTGGAGTTCAGTCTCCGACAATCACTGAGATTCAGAGTCCTTCACTGAAGTGCTGAAAAAATAATTTAATTCGCATTGAAATCCAATAAAGCTGAATTCTTTGAAGCGTTGAAAATGGGGCAATGACTCGTCCTCGTTTGTGGAACACTCTGGAACTCGCATTAACTGAGAACATCGACGCCCATCCGGGGGCTATTGTCCTTTGTGTGCGGGACATTCACATCATTCCACAATCCACATTCCGCATTCAACAAACACTCACAAAGAACAAACAGCTGCGTCGGTCTTGTGGTTTACTTTTTCCATTTCTACTACTCCACTTTACAGTTTCCCATTCCCCGAACTAGGTTTCATTTCACAGTAGCCCCCGAAACTCCCTTTCACTGCTCTCCCTGTGTCCTGTGTCCATTGTCAGGTTGTTGCCTGTCTAGGAATAAAAAAAAACCCAAGGAAAAGTTCAAACTCGAGTTGCAGCAGCGCTTTACTGGCTCATTTGCCTTTGGCTTTTGTCTGGTTCACTTGTCCGTGTGCTCTTCAGGTGCGATACCCTACAGCAAGGAAAGAGTTTGGATTGGACAATGATGCACAACAAATTCAAAGCATTTCCCATACGTGAATATATTATTTAGGGTTTTTAGAGGGTATTTAATACGTTTGTAGCTGTTTTCAATGCACTGCTTCCATCACTTCCTTAATGGCAGCACAGTTTTGCTTTCCTTTGCTTTGTTTACGGGTTTATTGTCGTCTCCTACTTCGTCATCTCATTATCATGTGGCCTTTGCATTTATCATGAGTGTTTTTTGTAATTCGCTCAGCTCTGATTCAATTAATTGAAGAATACGAAATCTCTGTTGTCATTCCGAAATCTTAAAGGCGAAAAAGAAACATATGTACACACATATACATAACGATGTATGTAAATATGTACAACGTGCAGCAGAACGAAAGCAAAACCAAGAATAAATCAGAGTAAAATGATGACAAAGACAAACGTTGAATGAAAAATCTTCTTTGTTCAGAGAAAAAGAGATGCAGCGAGATAGAGGATATAAAAAGAGAGCGCGAGTGAAAGAGAGATAGAGATCTGACATTAAAGGACTGGGAGAGAGATGTGGGGGGGGAGGGGGTTGCATTTATTTTCCACACAACTTTTAGATTTCTGAGAATATTTGAAATGGAAAACGTGCACTTTGTTTACATTCGTAATGAGGAAGTGAAATCGTTAATAAGTAAAAAGATGACGGTGGTTCATTGACTTTCAAGCAGACCAGAAACAGAGAGCTATAAACTAAGCAAGGAAGAGCGGAACTATCTACATATAACTAAAACTAAGTAATCTAAGTGCTAAGTCGGTCTGTTTCGGTGCACAGAATCCAATAACGAAATTTCTCGATAAAAAAAAAAAACAAAATATGTATATTGCTTTGGCATGACACAGTAATTTAAAGCTATATTCCAGTACCAGGACACAAGCGGACTATTTAAATCACCTGTTAAGGAGTACCAGAGAGCGTGACAGCAATACATTTTATGTCAAATTTTAGTACAGAAACAAACGTGAAAAAAAGTTATAGAAATATTTGAAACATGCGTGAGATATATGCCCCATATTTAAATACTGAAATGCAAGTTATACTCTAGGATCTACGTTTTGTTTTTGTTGCTCATTAAAATCATTTCCTTTCCATCTTTCCGCTTCTCTTTCGTAGAATGAGCCGCCAACATCAGCGGCACCACCAGACGCAGCAGCAGCAGCAGCAGTTGCAGCTACAGCAGCAGCAGCAGCAGCTGACGGTGCAACAGCAACAGCAGCAACAGCTGCTGATGGCCGAACATGCGGCGGCTGCCGAGGCCGCGGAGCTGTTCGATCTGCTGTGCGTGGCCACGACAATGCGACAGATCCTGGCACTGCATCGGGCCATGTGCGAGGCGGTGGGGCTGCGGCCGTCGCCTCTCAACGACTTCTACCCGAAGCTGAAGGCGAAGGTGCGCTCGTGGAAGGCTGCAGCGCTGTGGAAGAAGTTCGATGCGAGGGCCGCCCATCGGGTGTACGGCAAGGGCACCGCCTGCTCGGGCACCCGTGTGCTGGTCATTGGCGCTGGGCCCTGCGGCCTGCGAACTGCCATCGAGGCGCAGCTGCTGGGCGCCAAGGTTGTGGTGCTGGAGAAACGCGATCGGATCAGCCGCAACAATGTGCTGCATCTGTGGCCCTTTGTGATCACGGATCTGCGTAATCTCGGGGCCAAGAAGTTCTACGGGAAGTTCTGTGCCGGGTCCATCGATCACATCTCCATTCGGCAGCTGCAGTGCATGCTGCTGAAGGTGGCGCTGCTGCTGGGCGTCGAAATACACGAGGGCGTGAGCTTCGAGCATGCACTGGAGCCCAGCGGCGATGTCAATGGCTGGCGGGCAGCCGTTACTCCCGCGGATCATCCCGTCTCCCACTACGAGTTCGATGTGCTGATCGGTGCGGATGGCAAGCGAAATATGCTGGACTTTCGGCGCAAGGAGTTTCGCGGCAAGCTGGCCATTGCCATTACGGCCAATTTCATCAATAAGAAGACGGAGGCGGAGGCCAAGGCGGAGGAGATCAGCGGCGTTGCGTTCATCTTCAATCAGGCATTCTTCAAGGAGCTGTACGGCAAGACGGGCATCGATCTGGAGAATATTGTCTACTACAAGGACGAGACGCATTACTTTGTGATGACCGCGAAGAAGCACAGCCTGATCGACAAGGGTGTCATCATCGAGGACATGGCCGATCCCGCCGAACTGCTGGCCGGCCCCAATGTCGACACCCAGAAGCTGCACGATTATGCCCGCGAGGCGGCCGAGTTCTCCACCCAATACCAGATGCCTAACCTCGAGTTCGCCGTCAATCATTATGGCAAACCGGACGTGGCCATGTTTGATTTTACCTCCATGTTCGCTGCCGAAATGTCCTGCCGCGTCATTGTGCGCAAAGGCTGCCGCCTGCTGCAGTGCCTTGTCGGCGACAGCCTGCTGGAGCCGTTCTGGCCCACCGGTTCGGGCTGTGCCCGTGGCTTTCTATCCAGCATGGATGCCGCCTATGCCATCAAGCTGTGGTCGAATCCACAGAACAGCACTTTGGGTGTGCTGGCACAGCGGGAGAGCATCTATCGGCTGCTCAATCAGACCACGCCGGACACGCTGCAGCGTGATATAAGCGCGTATACCGTGGATCCGGCGACACGCTATCCAAATCTCAATCGGGAATCGGTCAACAGTTGGCAGGTCAAACATCTGGTTGACACCGATGATCCGTCGGTGCTGGAGCAGACATTTATGGACACGCAGTCAGCAGCACTGCACACGGCGCATGTGGAGACGCCGGGCAGACGCAAGCGACGCAGCGGAGGTGAGTCGTAGTAGGAGGTAGTTGGGAGTGTCTTGCAACTGCTAATAATATGCTTCTACTCCACACAGATTCGCTGCCGCAGGGCGCGACGCTGCTACGCTGGATCGCTGCCCAACTGCATTCGCATCAATTTGTGCCTGAGCTCAAGGAGCCATCCGATGTGCTACGCAATGGACGTGTGCTCTGTGGTCTAATCAGTCGGTAAGCCTTTCCGCCTTAGCCTTCACTGTGGAACTTGTTTATTAATTATTTCTTTCTGTGCTTAGATATCGCCCGGATCTTATCGACTTTGCGGCCACCAAGGAAATGAGTCCCTTGGAGTGCAACGAGCTGGCCTTTGCCGTTCTGGAGCGAGAGCTGAACGTTAAGCGGATTATGAGTGCCAAGCAATCGCTTGAGCTGACGGACATCGAGTCGCGGCTGTGGCTGAACTACTTGGATCAGATCTGTGAGCTGTTTCGGGGCGAGATTCCACACATCAAGCACCCCAAGATGGACTTTAGCGATCTGCGACAGAAGCATCGCATTCATCACACGCACGCACCGCCAGACTTTTCCAAGTTGTTGCAAATTAAGTCGAAGGCCAAGTCGCCCATGCAGGATGCTGTGGATGTGCCTACCACCGTGCAGCGTCGCTCAGTGCTGGAGGAGGAACGTGCCAAGCGGCAGCGGCGTCACGAGCAGCTACTGAACATTGGCGGAGTGACAGCCACCGGGGGTGCAGCGGCCGCAGGAGGAGCTGGAGCTGCAATCAGCGTCGGCACCAGTGCAGGGGGAAGCAATCTTCACGCAGGTGTGTTGATAACCATCATACATCGTCGACTAACAGAAAAATAATGATCCTCAGAGTGTGGTTTAAATTTATGTAATAAAAATTCAACTTGAAAGAGAGGTGTACCCACCCGCCGCTTTGTATTTGTATTTCATTCTTCCACACACACTCTGGATCATTATTAGTCTACGCTTTAAGGCCATGCTTGACATGCTCTTCTCTTTCAGGTCAAAATGAGACGCCACGTCGATCGAAGAAGCGTCGCCAGACGTCCGACAAAACGGCCAACATTGTGAGTAGATGCTGGAGATTAATATTATCATGGATGGGATGGGTTGATAAGAATAATGTACAATCTGGTTGAAAAGTGATTTAAACACTTTTCAGTCACTTTTGTTGCATTCATTTCTTTGTACATTTATTTCGTTTCTCGCGCGCTCTCTCATACAATCCGTATTGATATGTAAACATTTCATAAATTGTATTATCATTAGTAATATCTAAATTCATAATCCATATAAAAACATTGAAACCATGAAAGAAAACATAAGAAAAAACCAACAAGAGAATAATCTGTTCCCCCAAAAGGTTCAGCTAATACTGAGAACAGCTCTCTGTCATGAACTCTCAACCGCCATAAGTGCATTCGAATCATCCATCAATGAGGTCAGTTCGATCAGTGTCCAAGTGGTGTCCTCCCATTGTTATCCATCGTGTGATATGTAACCTCCCTCCAAACATCCAACTTCAATTACTAAAACCCTTAGCCATCAAAGTAGAACTTAGTCTTAGTCAATCGTTTTGTGTCTGTTTCACGCAATGCACCCAACAATCAATCAATCAATCAATCACACACACGCGCACACACACACAACCCCCCACCAAACCGTATTCCCTCGTACCTCGCACCCGAATTCGTTTCTGAATCCGCGATTCTGTCTTATGACGCGCAGGAGGAGCGCCAGCAGCGTTTGCAAAATATCGAAGAGAATCGTCAGGAGTGGATGAGCAAGCGCCGGCAGCAGCGCTACCATCAGACGCAGAATTTCTACAAGAGCCTGCAGCTGCTGCAGGCGGGCAAGCTGCTGCGTGAGGGCGAGGATGGTGTGGCCGAGGATGGCAGCGCCTTTGAGGATTACTCGATATTCCTGTACAGGCAGCAGGCGCCCATATTCAATGATCGCGTCAAGGATCTCGAACGGAAGCTGCTGTTTCCCGTAAGCAATGGATACCCGACCTGCTGCACGTCGCCTGCTCTCTTGCTCGATTGTTTGTTTTGTGAAAAGGCAGAAGAACTAACAGCTTTTGCCCAAAAAATATTTGTGTGTGACTACCAAGGAAATTTCTTTGTTTTTTTTCCACTGATCTACGTGATATCTGCGTTGTTTTTTGGAACCCCCTGTGGGTTACTGTTTAACAGAATGCTCCGCTCCGCTCTAATATTCAACTTACGCTCAGAGAAACAGCCCTAAAAATATATTCAAATTTAAAAATATGTTCGTGAAGTATTTTTCACATTAAAAATAAATATATTTTACATTTTACAGAAATATAGTTCATTTTGAAATGAAATATAAAATAAATTATACTTATTTTCAAGTATTTTCGAATACTTCGATGTGCCTAATATTTAATCGAAATATTTTATTCAAACACAATGCCACTTTTCTCTGAGTGTAAGCACATCCCGCCAGTTGCTCGTACTAATTTTAGTCCCTAGGCTAGGCTAAGTCTCTAACTAGTTTTAAAATCTAAAAAGAAAAGAGGAAAAGAGTTTTCCACGTTTCTGTTCTTCGTTTTTTGTTTGCCTTTTCGTTTTGTTTGATGTTCGTTCGTTTTGTTTTTCTGGTTTCCGTTCCGTTACGTTCTTGAGACCTTAAATATATTTTCTATATCTATAAAATTTTGATTTCTTCAACCCCTCTCCCACCCGATCCTCACAATCCAACAATAAAAAGGATCGCGAACGTGGGGATATACCTTCGGCAATGCCACGTAGCGCCGCCGATGAACAATTCAGCGATCGCATCAAGAGCATGGAGCAACGGATGACGGGACGCGGTGGCCTGGGCGGTGACAAGAAGCCCAAGGATCTGATGCGTGCCATCGGCAAGATCGATTCGACCGACTGGAATGTGCGCGAGATCGAGAAAAAGATTGAGCTGTCCAAGAAGACGGAGATCCATGGGCCCAAGGGTCGCGAGAAGGTGCCCAAGTGGAGCAAGGAGCAGTTCCAGGCACGCCAGCACAAGATGTCCAAGCCGCAGCGCCAGGACTCACTCGAGGCCGAAAAGTTCAAGGACATCGATCAGACAATCAAGAATCTAGACAAACAGCTAAAGGAGGGCCACAATCTGGACGTAGGCGAACGTGGGCGCAACAAGGTGGCCTCCATTGCCGGTCAATTTGTGCGCAAGGATGAGACCAATTCGGATGAGGCCACCAATACGGTTGTACAGTCCAATGCAGTCATACCCAAATCTGTGAGTAATTAAATGTGTTTTCCCCGTACCGTTTTCCCTTTAATTTGTTCGCGTTTTGTACAATTTATTTTGATTTTTATTTTCTTTGATTTTTGTGGCTTTTTGTTGTGTGGTTTCCGTGCTGCTGCAGCTACAGTTGTTGTTTTTAGTGGTTGTGGGGTGTACCCCAAATATTCCAATATCCCCTCCTTCATACCTGATTTCCTTGTACCTTAAATTCCCACTCCCACTCCGTTGTTTGCTGTTGGCTGTTGCTAGCTTAGGCGCTTCCACATCTCTCTCATCAACGATACATAAGCCATCGAACCATTTAACATTCATCGCCAATGCAATGCCAAAAAATAACCAAAATAATTGTTTAACTGTTAACTAAACACTTCTCCAAGAAATGAACAACTTCTAATAATAATTCTACACCATTTTTCCCAAACAGAGTTCCAAGGTGGCTTTGGCCTTTAAAAAACAAGCCGCTTCGGAGAAGTGCCGCTTCTGCAGGCAGACCGTCTACCTCATGGAGAAGACCACTGTGGAGGGTCTGGTGTTGCATCGCAATTGCCTCAAGTGTCATCACTGCCACACAAATTTGCGGCTGGGCGGCTATGCCTTCGATCGGGATGATCCGCAGGGCCGCTTCTACTGCACACAGCACTTCCGGCTGCCGCCCAAACCACTGCCACAGCGCAGCAACAAAGCAAGAGTGAGTATCAGAAATGTAAGCTCTAGCCACAAACCTTTATTAATATTTATTCCTGCCAGAAATCTGCCGCTTCTGTTCAGGCTGCCTCGCCTGCGGTTGCTGCCGCTGCAACAGTCGAACGCATGGACATCGGCCAGGAGGGATCACCAACCCGGGATCAAGTGGACTTGCTGGAGACGACACTGCAAGCGGATGCCATGTCCGATGATGAGGCGAATGTGATTGATGAGCACGAGTGGTCAGGTCGCAATTTCCTGCCCGAATCGAACAACGATTCGCAGTCAGAGCTCTCCAGCTCTGACGAATCCGACACGGAGTCCGATTCGGAGGTGTATGAGGAGGCAGACGATTCACCCTTCGGTGCACAAACGCTCCAGCTGGCCTCCGATTGGATTGGCAAGCAGTACTGCGGGGAAAGCGATGATACAACGGATTCATATGACTCCAGTGATGGTATTGCGGGTATGCAGAGGGGAGTAGGTTTCCCTTGCAGCGTCTTAAGTTTATTATTTTTGTTACAGACGATGGCAAGGATGACACTGAGGGCGAGGACTTTAAGAAGGCTCGTGAGCTGCGACGTGAGGAGGTGCGCCTACAGCCGCTGCCCGCCAACTTACCAACGGATACGGAGACAGAGGTAAGGCACTGCACGACGAGGCGCTGTCCACTGGTTGTGGGAAGAGACTAACCTGATATTCTCATTATTATTCTCATTTTATTTCTCTCCGACGCGTAATACTTGACCCAATTACCGTGTCCCTGTGATACCCTGACCCTTTTACCCCCCTGTTGTGGTGTTGGTTTCTCTCTTTTGTACACTCTAAATCCCATAGAAGCTTCAGCTTAACGTTGAGCAAGACAAGGAGAATGTGGAGCGGAGTTCTCTGCGTTCCGCCAACTCCTTTGAGTCGGCGCGCAGTCAACCGCCCACGCCCACACGCGTGGAAATGGAGCAACTGGAGCGGCATGCCCCGCGCAAATTTAGCAGCGAAATTGATGCCATCAGCGAGAAGCTCTACCACATGACCAATATGGTCAAAATGAACAAAGATCTGGAGCTGCTGGCCAAGGAGAATCTCGTGAAGAGCGACATTCTGCGCAAGCTGACGCTCAAGGAGAAATGGCTGGCCGAGAATGCGGCCATAGCAGCGGGAATGACCAATACACAGAAGGCTCAAGCTGCTGCACCAGTTGCTGCTCCACCTGCTGCTGCTGCTCCTTTGAAGCCCAAATCTCAGTTTGAGGAAAAATACGAAAAGCTGCAGTCGATGGCTGAAGCAAAGCCCAAGCCCAAGCCCGTCATTGACTTCAGTTTGGATGAGCTGAAGCCACGCAAGCCCAACTTTGAGGAGCGGCCCAAGGAGCTGCTGCAGAAGCCTGGCAAGAACCTAAAGAGTCCACGGAGCAGCGCCAATGTAAGTCGCTCCAGCAGCCTCAAGAGCAATGCCAGCACGGGCAGTCCGCGAGTGAAGAAGAAGGAAGATGAGACCAAAATGAACATTGAGGGAATACTGGGAACGATAAAGAAGCTGCAGCGACAGCAAAGCAACTCAAAGCAGCAGCAGGAAGAGGAGGATATGGACATGGATGTGGACATGGAAGTGGCTGAGGATTTGCAGGGCAAAAAGGAGCTCAACAGCAAACTAAAAGAGATCCAGGCAAGCAGCTTTGCGGGCACGATGGATCACATTAGGAGCCAATTGGCAATGCCCACGGTGAGCGCGCAGGCAGATCCAGCTTCTGTGGATCTGTCCAAATATTTTCCCAACCAAAAGTCCGAGAAGAGCGCCGCGCTCAATACGAACAAGAATCAGAAAACCCTCAAGGATGTGGATCTGGCCAAGTACTTTCCCAGCAGCCCGGCACCGCAGCGTCGAACTGTGGAGACGGTGGCCGATCGTCTAAAGAAATCGCAGACAGAGGCTTCGCTGGCTAAGTTGCAGACGCAGACACAGTCCAAGACAGCAAAGGAGGGAGACGAAAAGCCAAAGGAAAGGGAAAGGGAAAAGCCAGTGCCACCCAAGCGGCAGGCATCGCTGAACACTTTCAGCTTGCGGGAACATCAAATGGATGGGGCGCTGGATCTGACCAAGAAGAAAGCGTCGCCCGTGAAGGTGGCCAAGGCGACAATATGCAAACAGGCGGTAGGAGGCACCGCAACAGCCACCGCTGCAACAGCCCAGGCAACAGGCAAAGGCAAGATAAAGATTATTAAGAAAATTGTGCCCAAGGGCACAAAGGCCAAGAAGGCAGCAGCAGCGCAAGAGGCAGCCGCAGCGGCAGCCAAAGCACTGGAGAAACAGCCACCCAAGGACGAAGCTGAACGCATCCTAGACGAGATTTTAGGTGGCGATGGGGAGGTGCGTTCGCCCAGCAGCGAGTATCAGAGGCTCTTCCAGGATGAAAAGTCGCCCAGCGATTTGTCCGACAACATTGATCGCATCCTGGAGGAGTCGGGGCTGGATTTGGAGCTGGGATTGCCGCGACGCAGCAGCAAAAAGCTGCAGAAGACCAAATCCCTGAGCGAAGCGGACTTTGAGCTGAAGCCCAGCGCCAGTTCTCAACTGACGGGAGTGCAAAACATTCTCAAGCGCTTCGAATCGATGAGTTCGGTGGCTTCGTCCACGCACAACAGCGACGAGCAGGCGGCCTTCAAGCTGCGTCGCATGGAGTCCACCACCAGCAATCTGAGCAGCCTGACACGCTCCCGCGAGTCACTCGCCTCGCTGGATTCGATGAGCGATCTGGAGCGTACGATGGATCATCTGCGCAATGAGTGGCGCAACGAGGCCACCAATTTCCTGCAAAAGAAACGCGACAAGTTCTATGCCCAGAAGGAGGTGGAGCAGCAGGAGAAGAAAGCCGCAGCAGCGGATCCTTTGAGGGATTTGCCAGTGCAATATCGTGACTCCAAGTTGGCGAAATTCTTTGGCCTGGCCACGCGTAAGTCGCCCGAGAAGCGTCGCTCACCCATCAAGAAAATAAAAGCAACAACGACGTCGGCAAAGAAAAAGTCTCCCAGTCCCAAGAAGAGCCCAAAGGTGGCCGCAAAGGCCAACAGTTCGCTGGAGGAGCTGGCCAAGATTGGCGGCGCACGTCAGGCCAAGCAGCAGGCAGCAAAGAAGTCCTCCCAGAAGGTCATGCCCCCGCCAAAGGCGCCGCTGAAACCAGCCACACCTGTGCCCGATGACTTTGAGGTACTGGATCTGCTGGAGAAGGCCACAGAAGCCAAGGAGCTGGTGGAACGTTCCAAGACAAAGAGTCCAGCTGTCATAGAGGTGGCCAAAGAGGTGTCACTGCCAGTTGCTGCTGCTCCGCTGCCCGTTGAGGATATCAAAAATCTGCCCAAGACGGGCTGTGACAAGTCCCTGAATAGTTCGCGTCGCGGCTCTCAGTCGAGTTTGGTGTTGTCCAGGCGCCAGTCGCTGGATATTGCCCTCACGGAGCAGCTCCAGCAAGATGCTTTGGAGGCGCTCAGCAGCCTGGAAAAGGAGCAGCAGGAGCAGCAACAGGAGGCCCAGAACTTTGATGAACTCTTCCAGGATATGGTAGTGGAACCGGAACCGGAGGAGGAGCCTAACGATGAGGATTTGGATGCCGATTCCCTGTGCACCACCATCAGCAAGAGTCCCAGCGCACAGCCCGTGACGGTGGTCAAACGTGGCAGCTCGGAGGATCAGAGCATTGAGAAGCTTTTCGGACACTTCTCCGACGAGATGCTGGTGCAGGTGGAATTCGATTCGAACGATGAACTCGTGGGTATAACGCCCACAGTGGCCATAATACCAGCCAGTTCCTCAGAGGAGAGAGATTACTTGGACAAATTGGAGTCGCTGGAGCGCGATGAAGAGCCAACGAGGGAGGCGACAGATAGATTCCAAACGGAAGACAAGAATGTGTCCAACGATGAGCTGGATGGCAGCCATTTCCCCATGCGACCGCAGCGCAGGGCCAAGAGCAGTTCCTCTTCCAGTGAGCCAGCGCTGCCGGCCAAGCTGGAAGCGAAGCTGGCAAAGTTGGATCCCGAGGATATGGCGCCCTCAGTGCAGGACTTGCTTCAGCAGGTGTACGTGAAGCCGCAGGATGTGGAAATGAATGCCGTGGATCAGGGAACAGCATTGAAATTTCCCAGTTTGGTGATTGATGAAGATGTGGCAGATGTGGCAGATGCGGCAGAGGAACACAAAGAGAAGGAGCTGGAAGTGGCTGCCAGTCAGAGTGGCAGCCTCCTCGATGTGCAAGTGCCCAAAGTGGCCAAGTCCAAGGAGAACTCACTCGACTGGGACATGGAAAAGCTGCCTGCCTCGCCCATGCCCCGCCGTCGTTTGCCGCAGTCACAGCCAGCAGCCAGCAAGGAGAGCTCACTGGAATGGGACATGGAGAAGCTGCCCAACAGTCCCATGCCGCCGCGACGCAACAAAGTGCGAAATGCCTCACCCAGCAGCAGCTCCATTAATTTGCTCAACAATCTTCCATCGGATGGCGATGAGGAGCTGGCACAGCGAAGGCTCATCGAGGACTTTGAGCGTGAGCGTCGCCAGGCTCTGATCAGGCGCGACGAGAGCTTCGAGGCGACAGCAGCAGAGCAACGCAGACGCGACTCCCTGCAGAGCAGCAACAGCAACAGCAATTCCAGCAGCAAGCGAAGTCTGCCGCCACCCAAGACGAGCAGCAGCAGCTGCAGCAGCGTGGCACGCCGCGGGGACACCGCACGATCGGAGACCAAGCACGAGGGCACGCCGCCCATGTTCAAGAAGTTGGAGCTGGACAACGAGAGCAGCTGCCTGACCACGCCACTGGATTCGACGACCACCTGCTCGACGCGTCGCAGCTCGTTTGCATTTATAGAGTTACAGGACAACAAGCCGGTGATTGTGCCAATGCCCAGGAAGCTGAAGCTGCCGAAGCTGGCGGAGCCCAAATTTGTGCCTGAACCGGTGGCCAGCGATGAGCCCGTGCCGGAGGTGTTCCAGGGCAGAGCCTGGCCCAAAGTGCAGATCGAGGGTGTGTCTGCCGATGTGGACAGTGATCCCGAGCTGGATGATGAGGCGGCAAAGCAGCTGCTGCCGGATTACCTACGCTCTGACTCTCCTCCTGCGGCGGCTTTCAAGAACCGCAAATGGCCCGATGGCAAGACGATCTTTGATCAAAATCAAACAACCAACGGGCAGGCAGATGATCATGATGATGAGGAGGATATTCTGGGCAAATATTTGGAGGCCAGACGGCGCGTGTCCAAGCACAAGCCACGCTCTCAGTCGCCGCAGCCGTTTAAGCCGCTCTCCAGCAGCTCCAGGCAGAGCTCCAAGTCGTACAGCGACCTTAAGAAGGGTCCATCGCTGCAGTCGCTGTCGGCACGCAGCAGCCAGGACACGGACACTACACACTCCACAGCCACAACGGTGGCAACTGTGGCACGTCCTGTCAGCTCCTATGTGAACTATGACGATGCCAGCACGCGGGCGCTGCTCGATCGCAGCAAGCGGCTGCACAATCGCAAGCGAGAGTTTGTCAACGAGCGAGTGGTGGAGCGGAATCCCTACATGCGGGAGGTTATACGCAGCACGGATCGACGAGCATCGGAGGAGGATTTGGCCAGCTATAGGCCGCGGCATTATGCGAGTCCCACGACAGGCAGCAGCTCGAGTCGCTTTCCCAGCACCGTGATGCGCCACAATTACTCAGACTACCTCAGTCCCAGCAGCAACCATACCAGCGACTACCTCAGCAGCAGCAGCAGCAGCCATAGGAGACCCTACTCAACGCTGAATATATCCACGACGGGCAGCAGCTACTATCCGAGCACAGCCGCCACACCGCGCAGCTCCCATTTGAGTGACTTGTTCAAGCCGCGACGCCGCAGTCCCGTCTCCAGCTATGGACGCAGCAGCGACTACGGACTGACCGCCAGCAAAGAGTCGTGCGTTATCTCCTAAAAGCCTAAACCAAATACCCCACAAATTATCAATTCTCTTTTTACATATTTTATATATTTAAACCTCGTTAATGCACAGACGACGCCTCAACTACTATCTCTACTGAGGGCACCACAAGCAAAGCCCCAGAAAACCAGCCAGCCAAGACCAAACCCTGACCCACCCAGAAACCAACACCCACAACCACACACACCCCACACACACCTAGACACAGTACGGCGCACGTTTAGGTCCGTCCAAATATTAGATCAGCAAACCAACAAAAAAACCAATCAAAAATCAAAAACCAAACGCCCGCCCGCCTGCCCTGCCCGTGCCAGAGTCTTCCTTGTTAGCCACCAAAAAAAAAAAGATCCAAAATCCAAGTATATTGATTGCATCTGGGGTACGATCTATGAAGGTAAATTCAAGCAATCCACACACCAAAAATTGTACACGAAAACAAAATGTTGCGCCTAACACCACGAGCAGCCACAAAAAATCAAAAAAATGCTAAATCAAAGTCTGCGTTGAAGCACCGTTTTGTCGTGTGTCTCTGTCCCAATGCCTAACACTCCGCCCTGTATATGTACGCCGATCTACTACCAGAATTCTACTACCTAAAGTTGTGCCGTTTCCTTTTTGCTGTTGCTGTTTCTGTTACGTTGTTGTACCTTTCTCTGGATCGTACCTAAAGGCATGATAATGGTCCGCTGCCACTGCCACTGCCACTGCCACTGCTGCTGCTGATTAACCCTCTCTCTTTCTCTGATTAAAATTGAAACTCTGACTAACGCATGCACTCGATGCTCCGATGCTCTTGACAGCTAGCTGCAAATATTGACCTCACGCTGCAGCGTGTTCTTTATCGTTAATTGTTTATTGTTTACCGCTTGTTCTTTTTGGCACTGAACTCTGTAAATTAATCAATTTGTGGCGCCCGTAACTCTTGCAGGTACAAACCGAATCCGAGAGCACATCCCCCGATGAGATTGAGCTCAATTCTGCCACTGAAATATCCACCGATTCAGAGTTCGATAACGATGAGATCATACGGCAGACAGCGCCGAAAATCTTTATCGATGACACCCATCTAAGAAAGCCAACAAAAGTTCAGGTAAGCGGGGGAGTACTTAAGCCTTTAAGTCTTAACATTAATCCCTTTTATTTCCTTAGATCAAGTCCACCATGATCACACCCAATGCTGCTGCTGCCTCCGCCTCAGGCTTACACGAGAAACAGTTGGCGGCTCGCGAGAAGGGCGTAAGCTATTTGAAAAAATATCAGCCACAACCGCCGCTGCCGCAGTTCAAGCCGCTGGTCCAGGTGGATCCCACACTGCTGATTGGCAGTCAACGTTCAGCTGCTGCCACACCGCTCCAAAATCCCCGTCCCGGCGATTATTTGCTGAACAAAACTGCCAGCACCGAGGGCATTGCCTCGAAGAAGAGTCTGGAACTGAAGAAGCGCTATCTGCTGGGCGAGCCGGCCAATGGCAATAAGATACAAAAGTCTGGCTCCACCTCGGTGCTGGATTCGCGCATTCGCAGCTTCCAGTCGAACATCTCCGAGTGCCAGAAGCTGTTGAATCCCAGCAGTGACATCAGCGCTGGCATGAGGAGTTTCCTCGATCGCACGAAGTTCGGGGAGCCCAATGAGTTGATGCGTTCGGCCACCAGCAATGTGATCAATGATCTGCGTGTGGAGCTCAAGATACAGAAGGCGCCGTCCAGCAACTCAACGGACAATGAGAAGGAGAATGTGTTTGTCAATTGCAAGAACGAGCTGAACAAGGGCATGGAGTACACGGATGCCGTGAATGCGACGCTCTTGGAGCAGCTCAATCGCAAGAGTTCACCCACAACGCCCACGAACAACCACAACAAGACAGTCATCGAGGTGATTGATCTGGTGACGCCCGAGAAGCTGCCTCCCGTGGAGATTATTGATTTGACTCTGTCGCTGGAGACACCAAAGAAACCGAAAATCGAAGGCACAGACAGCAACAAGTTGAGCGAGAAGCAGCAGCTGGAGAAGCAGGAGGTGGAGGAGGTGGCCAAGCCAGATGTCTCCAAGGATGTCAAGGAGTGCATACCCGACATAATCGGGGATATACAGGGCACAAAGGGCACGGGCACAGGCAGCGAAGAGCAGCAGAGTTTGCTGTCGGATGAGGAGAAGCGCGACTCGCCCGAGAAGCAGGAACACGAAGAGCAGGACACGGTCCAGATCCAAGTGCCCAATATACCCTGGAGCAAGCCGAAGCTGGAGCCCATGTCCACAACTGGCAGCAGTGGTGGGACCAGCTGTTCCAGCTCATCAAACACATCCAGCATTGAGGACATACAGCACTACATCTTGGAGTCGACGACCAGTCCGGATACACAGACGGCAGGCGGCAAGCACAATGTGCCGCGCCTCGAGGTGCACGACACGAGCGGTGCCCTGATGCAGGTCGACAGCCTGATGATTGTCAATGGCAAGTACATTGGCGATCCGGAGGATGTCAAGTTTCTGGACATGCCAGCCAATGTGATTGTGCCGCCAGCTGCTGCCCTGAAAACCAACGAACTGGAGGAGCACGAGGATGAACACGATGCGGATGGGGATGTGGAGCCTGTGACGGCCACACCAGAGCCAGCCGAGTGCACAGTGATCGAGGCAGAACGACTGAACAAGGCGCCTCCGCCACTGCCCGAGATGGGACCACCGAAGCTTCGATTTGACACCAAAAATGAAAACAAAATCGAAAGCCTCAAGAATCTGCCGCTGATTGTGGAACGCACGGCGGAGCATAGTCAGGTGGTGAAGCCAATCACGCTGAACCTGAGCAGTGCAGCAGCCAGAACGCCCGATACGCCGACCACGCCCACAGCCCATGACAGCGACAAAACGCCCACGGGGGAGCTGCTGTCCCGCGGCTCCGACTCGGAAACAGAACCCACGGGCACGGGCACAGGGCAGGTGCTGACAGAGACGGAGCTCTCGGATTGGACGGCCGATGATTGCATTTCGGAGAACTTTGTGGACATGGAATTTGTGCTCAACTCGAACAAGGGAACAATGAAGCGGCGAAAGGAGCGCAGGCGTAGCGGCGCAGCAGCCAGGCTGCCCAGCGGCAGTCAGGTGATCCATGAGTTGGCACGCCAGGCGCAGGCGCCGGTGGTGGAAATGGAGGGCATACTCAGTGCCATTGACATCGATGACATTGAGTTTATGGACACGGGCTCGGAAGGGTCCTGCGCGGAGGCCTACTCGGCCACGAACACGGCAATGCTGCAGAATCGCGGCTACATGGAGTACATTGAGACGCAGCCAAAGCGATTACCGCTGAAACCCAATCAGGCAGCTGTGCCAGTTGCAAGTGCAGTCGTGGCCCTGCCGCCGCTCGTGACCAAACGGGATGAGAAGCTGGGCATTGATTACATCGAGCAGGGAGCATACATCATGCACGACGATGCCAAGACGCCGGTGAACGAGCAGCTACCAGCCGCAATGACACAATCCCTGACGGATTCGAGCACTCTCAACGATCTGGATGATGACAGCATGGCTGGCTCGGGCATGGGTCTGTCCCAGACGCTGCCCACCACAACGGAGGAGAGTGAGGCGCTCACGGTCGTCACCAGTCCGCTGGATACCTCCTCGCCGCGTATGCTGGATCATTTTGCCAGCATGCTGGCCTCGGGCAAGGCAGACTCCACGGCCAGCAGCTCCGAGCAGCAGCCAAAGACGTCCACAGTGACGACCAGCAGCAGCAGCAACAGCGGAGGAGGATTAGGTGGAGCCAACAGCTCAACACCCGGCCTTGAAGCCAAAGATGCAGCCGCCGCCCAAGATGAGGATATGCAGATCCAATTCGAGTATGTGCGAGCCCTTCAGCAGCGTATCTCGCAGATCAGCACGCAACGTCGCAAGAGCTCCAAGGGGGAGGCGAACACAACTGTGATAGAATCAGCCGAGGCTCAGCTTCAGCAGCAGCCGCCGGAGAGCCCAGAGTTGTCAGCGATGCGTCCTCGGAGCAGCAGCAGCTCCAGCAAAGTGCCTGAGATACCGACGCTCAGCAGCAAGCTGGAGGAGATCACCAAAGAGCGAACAAAGCAAAAGGATCTCATCCATGACCTCGTCATGGACAAGCTGCAGTCGAAGAAGCAACTCAACGCGGAGAAGCGATTGCACAGGAGTCGCCAGCGGAGTCTGCTCACCAGCGGCTATGCCAGCGGCGCCAGTCTAAGTCCCACGCCCAAGCTGGCCGGTGCTGCCAGCACTCACGACTCAAACTGCTCCAGTCAGGCGCATTATCATGCCTCATCCACGGCAGAGGAGAAGCCTGTAACGCCAATTGCAATTCCTTCGGCGCCAGCGCCCAGCAATCCACTGCAGAAATCGGCCACGTCCACCTATGTGTCGCCCTATCGCACTGTCCAGGCGCCCACACGGTGCGCGGATCTATACAAGCCGCCGCGTCCCTTCAGCGAGCACATCGATGCGCGAGCCCTCGAGGGTGGCTACAAGCTGAACAAGACGGCCTCCTTCAACAGCGGAAGTGCACGAGTGGGCGGGGGCTTCATCGCCCCGATAGCTCCAGCTCGCTTGCATCGCGGTGGAGGAGTCGCTGTGGGGGTCGGAGTTGCTCCCTCTGTGGAGGTATTGAATATTTCCGCCTCAACGGAGAACCTGCGCATCGAGGCCCGTGCCAGGGCTCGTCTCAAGTCAAACACGGATTTGGGTCTTAGTCCCGAGGATAAGATTCAATTGATGCGCAAACGTCTGCACTATGACCCAACCAGACCACTCAAACTCAAGCAGCAGCTGGAGGAGCCGCTGTCAGTTGATCTGGCAGCGCGTGCACGCAAAATGAGTGCCTCGAAGAGCGTCAACGATCTGGCGTACATTTTAAACAGCCAGCAGCAGGTGGGACACTCGAGCCTGGACAAGGAGGCTGTGGCACAGGCCAAGGCAGCGGACTTCACATCCGATCCAAATCTGGCGGCCAGCAGCGGTCAGGAGAAGGCAATGACGACAAAGACCAGACAAAAGGATCCCGAGCGACGTAAGAGTCTCATACAGTCGTTGTCCAGCTTCTTCCAGAAGGGCAGCCACTCGCATTCTGCGTCTGCATCTACATCGGCGTCCGCATCCACCAGTCCCAAAGAGCACAGCGGCCCTGTGGCTGCCAGTCACTCTGAGCAGTCAGAGCGTCCCGGCACCAGCAGCAGCGGCACGCCCACCATCTCCGATGGCAACAGTGGCGGCGGCGGGGTGTTCAGTCGCTTCCGCATCTCCCCGAAATCCAAGGAGAAGTCAAAGGTGAGTTTTTGTTATATTTTATATGCAAAAAGTCTCTGGTTGTGGTGCAAAGTCTTAGCCCTAAGTTGTGTTGTTACTCATAGATAAATGTCTCGTGCAATCGGTGAACTGTGCGCGATAAATGTTTTCATTCACATATAACATTTCGAAATCTTTCCAACAATTTTTGCAGTCTTGCTTTGATCTGAGGAATTTCGGTTTTGGTGTAAGAATATTTTTATACTTTTCACTTTTCCATCTCCTCACTAGAGCACACAAATTCCAGCACACATCCATCTATGGCATGAATTTAGCTTAACTTAACTCGAAATTTACATTTTTATTCGTTTCACTCCCATTGGCTTTCGCTTTATTTGTTTTCCCCCCACTTACAATTTGCAAGAACTTTATTTTAATTTTGTTTTTCATTTATTTTATTTTCATTTTCTTTTTACAAAACATTTCCAGCTAAAAATATTTAAGTAAATAAATTTATATTTTAAGTTTGCTGCCCTTCCAAATGTTTCTACTCTTCCCGCTGTGCCTCCCTTTTAAATAACATTTTATGTGGGAACTTTAATTTTGTTTTAATTTTTAGCGTTTATTTAGGTTAGGGTATGCCGGAAGCTAGGAATATTCTTGCTGTTATGTGTTTTATATATTTTGTTGTATTTTAAGTTTATTTTTGTTGGTTTAAGATTTGTTTTTTTATTTAAATGTAAGGAGAAGCCTTTGGAAACTGGTTTAAGTTCAATGTTTTGAATATTTTGCATGGATCGATGTTTGGAATGGGCTGAGAATGGGTTCCCCCAAGGATCCCCCTCCGGTTTAGTGGTTATGGTATTATAGATGAAATATTTGTTAAGTTTATTGTTATTTTACCCCTATTTTATGACACCCTGCATGTTTACGATTATATTTTCTAGTAAATAACAATTTGTGTTTAATATGAGAACTGAACAACTGTTTACTTTTTCCACACACACAAACACACATCCTTACACAATCATATTTATACTCTCTATAAAACTGATACATTAAAATATTCATAATACAATGCCACAATTAGGACAAGGATGTGCTCAACGGCAGTGCCACAAGCGGCGCAAATGCAGCAGCAACTGCCCCACGATCACAGACAAATCACTCTCAAGATTATCTGAACACCACAACAAACAACAGTCGCTATCGAAAGCAAACGAACACTGCGAAACAGAATCCCGAAACGTTCTCATCATCCAGCCCGCAGCTCTACATACACAAGCCCCACCATCAACTGGCCGCAGCGAATGCAATGGACGACCAGATACCGCCACCCATCCCGCCACTGCCACTGAATTATCAAAGATCCGATGGTTTGTTTATCTCATTTTATGTGTCCAATCCCTTAAGTATTTTTGTCTCATTGTTTTAAAGTCTATTAAGTGCTCCTTTAATTAATGTTTAATGTGCTTTGTAGATGAGAGCTACGCTAACGAGACACGAGAGCATAAGAAGCAACGTGCCATATCGAAGGCTTCACGACAGGCTGAGCTCAAGCGACTGCGAATCGCTCAAGAAATACAGCGCGAACAGGAGGAGATTGAGGTGCAGCTAAAGGACTTGGAAGGACGCGGCGTGCTCATTGAGAAGGCCCTGCGGGGCGAGGCGCAGAATTTTGAAAAGTAATTAAAGATTAACAAAAATAACTAAATGGCAACTAAATCTAACTTTCACTTGCAGCCTGGACACGTCCAAGGACAACGATGAGAAACTACTAAAGGAACTATTGGAAATTTGGCGGAACATCACAGCACTCAAGTGAGCAAAGCAATCGAGAGGTTTCTCTGCAGCGAATTTAATTGGTTTTTGGTTTGTTTGTTTTGCCAGGAAACGCGATGAGGAACTGAGTATAAGACAACAGGAACTGCAACTGGAGTATCGGCATGCACAGCTCAAGGAAGAGCTCAATCTGCGCTTGTCTTGTCACAGTAAGTCAAACGAAAGATGCGAAAATGGCAGTAACTTATTAAAAAACGATTTCAAACTTTCAGAACTAGACAAGAGCTCCGCCGATGTAGCCGCCGAGGGCGCAATACTCAATGAGATGCTGGAAATTGTGGCAAAACGGGCGGCACTGCGTCCGACGGCCTCACAGCTGGACCTAACTGCAGCGGGTACTGCAACGACCTCAACCGAGGCGGCGGGCATAAAATTGACCGGCCAACCGCATGACCATGAAGAATCGAATGTGAGTACTGATTGCATAATAAATATTTTTTAAATAACCTTATGTATTTCCGTACTTTTAAAACAGATTTGAAACTGTCCCTTGAGCTTGGTGGCGCCACAAGTTTGGGCAAAGGCATGGATTTTTTAAGCCCAATTACTTAATAAGAACCAAGAGAGAAACGTACCAAAAAGTCAGCTGAACATTTACAACTACAATAACAAATACTAAAACGCATGAGGAAAAGGAAACGAGCAAAACCCTATTCAGAGTGATTAAGCTGGCAGAGAAAGAAACAATTTCAATATACAAAATATTATATTTACAATAAGTAGAAGGAGTAAAGAGGAGTAAAGTTCAGTAAAGAAGGAGTAGCGCGCAATGTCAATGTAAAAAATTAAAAAAAGAACAAGCAAAAACATAAGGAGTTGAAAATTGGAAAACCAAAAACTAAATTTTGCAATTTTAAACTGTTTTTGCAGAATATTTAAATTATCTATTTTGTTAAATGTGTCGCAAGTGTATTTTTAGTTAGTTGTGCAGACAATTCGAGTGAAATCTGTTCTTATCTTTGTAAATGTTGTGTTTTTATCTTTATTGTGAATTATGTGCAAAATCTTTGTGATTCTGAGCAATTGTAAATGGTGTATTTGAGTTGTTGTTAGGTTATCATTATTTAGCAATGATTGTCTATTGTTTCTGTGTATATGTACTACCGTCTCAATGTATTATTATTTATTTGAAGAAGCACCACACACACGCATTATTCAACAGCACATCCATGTATGTAAAATGTCATTCGCTGCCCCTCCCCAGCACCAGAATCAAAGTGAACACAAAGATATACACACAAATATTTTATATATGCGAAAAAGAGCGTACACATAACATTATAACGATATATAAAAGGAGGCAAGGCAAGGCAAAGCAAACATTTACTGTATACTAATGAAAATGATTTAACTTATTGTGTAATTTTATTTATAACCTGCATATATAAACATATTTATCGAATTTATTATGTAACTTTTTGATTTATTTTAAATTGAATAAAGATTTTATGAAACCTACGGCAGAAGGCACAATTTTCGCCAGCGGAAGAGTACGATTTAGGATGCTGTTTCTATCCCTCGCCCCTGTGCATCGCAGTGTTAGCCCAGAGCAGAGAGAACCCTTTTTGGGCAATTTAGGCTTCTGCTAATTTAGGGTATATGAAAGAACACAGAACACTGCTCTCCTGTCGTGGTGAGATTTTCTATCATTTCCGTGGTGAGATTAACCCATTTTCAAAAACTGGGTGGGTATTTAAGTACAACAAAGAAAATTATTAAAGAGGTAGAGTTTTGACGCAGTTCAGCTAAAGGATGTCACGGTGATTTTTTGTTTAAATATATATGAAGGATATGTGCTACAAGGAACATCTACAAGCACTATTATTTTCTGCTGTTTACCTCAAATGGGTTAAGCTAGTTGTTTATTCGGTATATTTTGGTATATTCTTTATAGTCCGATGGTATATTTGATCGATAAGTCACACTGCTTTCACACAACATTTGTAATCAACAATTTAAAATTTGTTAAAACCCATGCATATCGAAACTTGTGCAGAATTTAATTGATATGGCTGAAGAGCAGTCAAAAGCAGATGCTGCACAACCCACACTGACATCTCCAGCCACCAACGAACCTGCAAAGACGCCAATGAAGCCAAGTCCCCCAACGCTTCTCTCGGCATCAGGCACCGGTGAGGAAGAGCAGCAGACAGAAAAGGCGGTCCAGGCTGCGGCGTACAGCATGCGACCGGATTTTGGAGAAATGTTTCCTCTACCCATTGTAAAGAACATCATGAACAGTGTCATGGCCGAGAAACTGAAAGGTGAGCATGGAAAAATCGATCCCCTGAGCGTCGCTAAGCAACTGGTTTCGTTTTTGCAGACAAGACATACGACAAGGACGTGGCCAAGACATGGACGCTCGAAATAGCCGATGAGGTGAACCAGAAAATAGCCTCCAACCCGAAAGTGAAGCGCTACAAGCATGTGGTGCAGGTGATGCTTGGCCAGGAGCTCGGTGCCGGGGGTTTCTATAATTCGCGCTGCTGCTGGGACTGCGACTGTGACACCTCCGTCTCCGAGGTGTTCACCAATACCAGCATATTCTGTGTGTGCACCGTCTTTGGCACCTACCAGTACTGAAGCACACACACACACACACGGCCAGCAGGGACGATGCACCAGAACTGATTAGGATAAGAAAAAACCCTTAATATATTTATTCTTAGCACGGTGAGAGCGACAGCAGTGTACAGTATTTACATTTAAAACTAGTTTTGCTTTGTTTTTTTCTTGCAGATTAGTAGGCACCAGGAAACAAGGGAACAATGACCCAACTTCACTTTCGTTACTCGCGACCTTCGTCTTGCATCATTGGATGCGCACATTCAATGGATTCAGTATGCGGCCCGCCATCACAGCCACGTCCAGCTCTCGATCGATGATGAAAAACAGAAACGGATGGTTCACAGATATCTGAATGGGTTTCGTTTGAGCACCATAGTTGCCTGAGATCAACACACAAAAAGAGGGGAAGTAGTTATTGCACCTTTGTCTAGCAGCAGGCACTGTTATCGCAATCGAAATTGCCATCTCCATCTCGCTGGAGTTGCAGGTGGGGCTATGGCGTTGCGTTTCGCCTCAATGCCTTCGTTCAGGTGTGCTGCAACTGCAACTACTTACGCTTTAGTTGATTGATGGGATGCGTACGAATGTTTACGTCTATGGATTGCTCAATGTGTCGCACGTAGACACCTTTCTCATCAGTCATGGGACGGAAATCGGCGCGATTTGGCTCGAAGACATCACAGCTGCAACGAGAAGCGGACCAAAAGAAAGTAAAAGTGAGAAGCAGCACTAATGGCACGCAGCAAGCAGCTTACATGCCCATCTGTAAGACAACCAAAGCATAAATTAATCACAAATAAATGTAAATTCATTTTAAAGCTGCTCACATTCTGCAGATCGTTGGTCAAGAACATGGTTCCATGCAGCTTAAAGTCGGGGATGATGGCCTGCACCCATCTTGGCTTCAGCTGATTGCGCATCAGTCGCAATGTGGGCCCCAGTTTCAGCGATGCCGCCGCAGCCACAATGTCCGTGTGGTAGTCGGGCAGCAGAATCATCAGATTGTACTCGGGCGTGTCCAGCTCCAGCTCGAGGACGCTCATCTTGAGATGCTCGAAGTACTTGAAGTACAGCACCGCATTGTACACCTTAAATGTGGTGTGCACAATCTGATGGCTGCCCAGATAGAACACGTGACTGATGACGTCCGTGTTGTAGTTGGACTTGCTCTCGGCTGCCTCGCTGATAAAGTGCGGCTCAAAGTCATTGTGGATGGGCGCAAAGGCGCCAGTTGGTGGATATTGAAACGGATGAGGCGCCGGGTGTGGTGCTTGCGGGTTGAAGAGCGTCAGAAAGAGATTTGAATCGAGTTCCCTGTAGGGCAGAGCGTGTCGCTTGTGCCGGGACATCTTGGACTTTCTCGCGTACGAACCATTTGCCGACGGTGGAGCTGAAATGGAAATGATTTGTCGCGTGTTTGGAGGCTTTCTCTCTGCCACCTGTCGTGCCATCATAGGCATGGTCGCTGTCCGCGCACTCGGCAGATAAATGGGCTTCGGCGTGATGGGATTGGAGTGCTTGAGTGGCGCCTGCAGCTTGCTGGTGGGCAATCGCGAGACGCGAGCTTTTTGTATGCGCAGCAGTGGCTCGGAATCCTCCTCAGCCACGAAGGCAGACACCAACTCAGCGGCCTCATCCTCGCCAGCAGGCTCTGCCGTCTCCTCGCCGGATGACTCTGCGGGTGCTTCGGTGGTTGTCTCCGTTTCAGGCGGCGCTTCTGTGGTGGTCGTTGGCTCCTCTGTGGTTGTGGTGGTGGGTGCTTCCTCCGTGGTCGTTGTGGTGGGCATTTCAGTGGTGGTTTCCTCATCCTTAACCGTGCTGCTGGTGGTGGTGGTTTCAGCCTCCACTTCCTCCGTTGTGGTGTTCCCACTGGGCGTCGTCGTGCTGACCATCTCAGCATCTGCTGTCAAATTTGCAGGCGTTGAGGACACCATATCCACACTCAGATCGTAGCCATAGAACATGAGCACCGTCTCAAAGTCCTTCAGGACTGTCACATTATTCTTGTTCAGGCTGAGACCCTTCAGGGGATTGTCGGAGCCAAAGAAATAAGTCTGCAAAGAGAGATACGAATCTTTATGCCCTAGTTGTGGTAAATGTTAATCCCGAAATCTACATAATTGCTGCCGGGAAACACTCTATTCACTTGGACAATTGCTGCTACACTTATTGGTCGGCTGGGAGGTCAACGCACTATTGACAGCCGATAGCAGATCACTGGAGAATGGTCATACGCAATTGGCCTAGGCCCTCGGGGCATTCTTTTTTGGTTTGCTTTATTTTAATTCTATTTTTTGTTCTGTTTATCAATGACCACTCCACATGCCGCTTTGCTCTGGCCCAATGTGTGCTTAGCCAGCCATGTAAATGAACGTTATGTTGGCATTTCATTTGGTTATAGTTTTGAGCAGTGAAGCACACTCTGGCTTGTAGGTTAAGTTCAACGCTGAATCGAGTGGAATAAATGGGCCAAGTCTCACCCGTAGTCGTCGATGGATGTCGCGGTAGCCGACGCGTATGACATCACGATTGTTGGGCAGCTGCAGCACATTGCGCAGCTCGTTGGCACTGTTGCTGGAGGAACCCTCGTAGAGGGCCACCAGGACACTGACCAGCGCAGTGGGTGAGAAGGCAAAGTTATTGCGATTGAGTATGGAGTGGTAGTGCAGCAGGCGGTGGGTGAGATCATTCGTCAGATCGACCATCACCTCAGCAGGTGTCAGCTCCTTGACGGCCAGCACCTGTGGCAGATGGTCGAGCGGTGTCATCGGTGGTGGCGGGAAATGTGGATGCGGAAAGCCGCTGGCACGAAACTCCTCATGATCGATTTGTATGTAGTGAGCTTGAACACAAAGGAGGATGTGGACGTGACCCAGCCAAAACGCCAGCGCGAATCGAGACATAATTAATGATTGACCTTGCCCAGATGGAGCTGATAGCAGTTAGCACTTTGATTGTCGCGTTTGCGGCTGTTTTTTTGTGTTTTAGCGAACAATTTTGCGAGCTTTATCCGTATTCATAAATTGCACTACACTCATTATTTTTGCCCTGCTGCCAATTTCGAATCAATTAGCTGAATTGAGTGCTTCTCTCTCTCTCTCCGCTGTTAATGTCAAGGTGATGACTATTTGGAAATTTGTCAACAGTCAAGCGGATCGCGTTTTCCACATAGCTTTTCCAGCTTACAGTTTCGCTCTGGGATTCGAACCGATTCGCGTGATTGCTGCTGCCAAACTGAAACTGTGGCCCAAGCGCCACTCTGCTAAATAAAGTACGAAAGTACGAGCCACAATGGGGCTCGGGCTCGCGTTTTGGCCAGCAGATGTTCCATGACAAAGGGTGGGCTATAAATGAATGAATGAATCCCCACAGGGCACAGACACACACACGGAAAGGTACGTTATAAATAATATTAATTTCGTTAATGAAGTGGACTATCTAATTGATAATCAGCATTTGTGAACTTATGAAATATTGCATTGAATCTGCAGCAACTCGGGAGCTTCAGTCAGTGAAGTATAATCCGTTGACCAAGTAGTGTCTGCCGGTGCAAATTTCCACAGTTCCTTACCCATAAAAAAGTGAGCTAATTGCATAATGTCATCGCTGAAACGTCTCATCCAACTAAGCTTTGGCTATTTCTGTGCCCTGAATGGTATCGCTGCATTCTATTTTGGATTTAGTTCGGGAAAATTACATTGGAGCCGCATCCTGGGCTACTATCGCATTGTTCACAACTTCATTGTCATCAGTCTAACATTTAAGTTTATGGCGGACTTTTGGCAGTTCCACACCCACGTGAAGAACTCAAGATCTCAGCTAATGGAGCTGAACTGCCTTGCCCACTTTGCCATGGTTGTGCTGTCGTTGCTCAGCTGCATGGAGTGTACCCATCGGCAGCAGAATCGGATCTACGCGATGTTAAGTAAGCTCTTGGACCTCAATCGACTCAGCAACGAGTTGGGATACATTGCGCCAAAGTCCCACCAACGATATATCGGCTTGCTGGTGTTGTCTATAACCCCACTGCTGGCACTTCGCCTCTTCATTCATGTGGGCCTGAATGCGATTCGCGCAAAGTTGGGCTTCGATTTTCGCTGCAATTGCTTTCTGTCTGAGTGCATGCTCCTGGGGATACATTCGGTGGGATTTGGCATCATGGCTGAGATCTGTCAATGCTGGTGGAGGCTGCAGACGGGACTGAAGACAATTCTTCTGGAGGAACCAATGCCAGACCAGCTGAATCAGCTGTTGCAGCTGCAGGCCATGTACCAGTGCCTGATCGACATAACTGCGGAGTTCTGCAGTGTCTTCAAGTTCGTGTTGATGTGCTTTCTGGTGCGGAATGTCTGGTGTGGCATTGTGATTGGATATCTGATTATTCGCATATTCTGCGGCCATGGTGTTAGTGAGTTGCATCTCTATCAGCTCTATCTGGCGTTTGTTATATGCATCCAGCCCCTGCTTTATTCACTTCTGCTCAACTGCCTGACGGACACAACGGATTCGTTGATGGAGACAACCAAAGTGATTGTGAGGGAATCGCAGGGACAGCAATATCTGGTGGAGCGAAGTGTGAGTATTGAGTGAAGAGGCTTGAATATATGAAAATGTAAATTCTTGCAGCTCCAGTGGTTCTCCTTACAACTGGCCTGGCAGCACACCAACATCCAAGTGTATGGCACTTATCGCATCAATCGGCGTTTGGTTTTTCAGAGCGCTTCGGTTATATTTCTGCACTCACTTTATATGGTTCAAAGCGATTATAGATCTATGTGAGCAATAAAATATATTTATTTCTATGTCTAAAAATTAAATTTTCAACCCCACTTTCAATTAAAAACACAAAAATGTTTAGTTTTTGAAAGTATCATTTTGCTTGTATCGTTTTTTTTTTTTCTTGTTTATTTTTATTTTCGTTTTATATCTTTATTATAGAGTTTGTATTTCGTTTGTTTTTCTTTTTGTTTGCTTAACTCGTACAAGTAGTGGTTCACTTTTTATTTTTATGTTTTTGTATTTTTGTTTATTCTGATTGCGATTTATTGTTTTAAAATCAACATTCATAAACACACATCCATTGAAATATTATTATTTTTTTATTTGTATTTCTGTTTTCTTTTCGTTTTTTTGTTTTTTTCTTGCTTTTTTTGTTTTTGTTGTATATTTTCGTTCGCTTAAAATAGTTTTGAAAATGTAGTTTTATTTTTAGGGGTTTTTTCCTATGAGAATGATGTAAAAGTTAATGTTATGTGTGTGGGTGGTGTCTGTTTTGGAGTGTGTGAGTGATATAGATACATATGCAGAGAGAGAGATGATGGGATGGGTGTTACAGGTGGAGAGACATTTATCTATGTAGTACTCGTAATGATTGGTCTGGAAACGGGGCTCTTAAGAGTAGTTCATGATGGGGGAAAATGTGAAGCATAAAAAGCCAACCGAGCCAACAAGACCTACTTAAGTGTAACTCTAACTCTCCGTTCAGCTTTCGCACCTGTAAGTATTTTATGTTCTGATCTGTACACTGGTTGTAAATATACAAATATAATATGCTGCTGTTTCCTGTATACAAAGACGCAAAATATATCTACTATGTATATTCGTGTACGATCTGTAGCCTGTGCAATGTACATACAATATGTGTGTTTGGTTTTTGTTTTTGTTTCCCTTTTTGTTTTCTTTTTTTTTCGTACGAGTATCTCTAAAAATGTTTCTGTATCTGCGCTTAAAACGTTTCTGCATTTAGTTTCTGTTGCACAATTTGCTTTGCAAAAAATATAGTTGCCAACCGACCACTACCCGGCACAGTCCCGATGCATCGGGGCGGTATTTGGGTGCGGCGGTGCAGGCTCTACATATCTATGTATCTCTGTCAGTTTCATAGGTACTCGATTCTCACCAATGTTCAATTGAAGTGTCAAACATCTCTGCTGCTCTGTAACTACTTTACGATTAAGTACAGTATGTATTTATGTATTGTTTAGTATGGTAGGTATTTTAGGTAGGGAGTAGGGGTCACAAGTGTTTTGCTTACATTTTGGGTCCTCGGGTGTTAGGTTGTTGCAGTGCTGGGCTTGGCTAGTTTCTGGTTACATTTTCTGTGGTTGTAGTTGGTTTAAGCTTATTTCACATTGAGACAACTGTATACATGTATGTATATTTATGGCTTTACATTCATTATGCACATCTATTTATCTGTAGCTGTATATGTAGTATGTGTCTAGGAGTACTTGCATATATGTATAGGTATATGTATGCATGAACATTCGTCACTTGCCATCGGAAAGGAGCTGCTCTGTTCATCATATATCGGGTTAGATTATGTACATATATAATATATGTATGTTTAATGTTTAATTATTTGTTTATACTGCTGTAAGTTTAACATGGAATATACACGACACTTAGTTGCTGGTTAATTACTTGGTTTAGTTTTGGTTTTTTCGTTTTTCGGTTTTGGAAATGCAAACTCAGTTATACTAACTTGTTTAATTACTCTTACTATGTGTGTTCTTGTGTGTGTTTTTGTGTCTGCTTAGCTTTCACCTGCTCCAGGGTCGGCTTTCCTCCCCTCTCCCCCTCTGTGTCTGTGTGGGTGCTCCTCTCTTTTTGTACCTTGTCATGCGGTGATCATTTTTGCGACTGCTCTCTGCTCTCTGCTCTCTCTCCCTTTTGGAGTATGTTCTATTCTAACTATTCTAGTAGGGCGTAAGTATCATTTATGATGAGTATCTTCATGTAACAGCAAACAAGAGTCAACAATTCAAACAAAACAGGGATGTGGATGGGATGCCATCGATTCAACTTAACATACAATAGACATACACCATAATGTCTCACAATCTCAATCCGATTGGGAAGTAAACTTCTATAGATTAGTAGACACAACAACAATATATAGAGATTTTTTTCATTTTTCATAGATTACGAACTATATAGACAAACACGATGAGTTACTGCAAAAGTGTTGGAAACATGGCAATGATGAATGCTGGCTGGGGTGTGTGCTGTGTGGGTGGTGGGTGTGGGGTGTGGGGCTGGGGTGTGGGGCTGGGGCTGGGGTGTGCCCCTTATGGGTACGAGCGTACGTCTAAATTTAATCAAGTCAAGTCAAGTCATTCAAAGTATCTCTCATATCGTCTAGATCTTACAAAACACGATCAACTAAACCGATTATTGTTAATTTTACAATATTTAAGTGTTAGGGTATTCATTTTTATTTAATTTTAAATATTAATTTTACTTGCGACGTCTGTCTGAGTTGCCAAAATGCTGGGGTTGGGAAATGCCCAGAACTAAAAGTCTCTTGAAATTAAGTTTACATTTAGCCAATTTTGAAGACATCTTGTGGTTCTATCCGTGCGCCAATCAATGCAAAATAATTGAATACAATTTATTGAATTTTGCCTTTTTCGTTCAGTTTCAGTTTTAACAACAAAATTGTCTTGCCAATTATCATAAATTTTAAATTGTAAAAAAGTTACAACAACTGCATACTTGCTGCCTGGGTAGAAAAACTTATTTAAAAACTATTATTGAATTTAATTTACGCTTTCACTTAGCTTAAGCAACAATTTAGCTGCTCTCAGAGGCCTCTCCTCCATTCTCAGATGATTTAACTCTTCTCCTTATACAATATCTCCCTTCGTATTTTAGTTTTGGTTTACTTTGAAGTTTCAGTCAGTTTACAAGAATGTTCATATGTCATATGTATACATACATGAATATTGTTGATTGATTGATTCGTGGATTGGGTGAAATGCGATGCAATGCATGAAGTGTGAAACTATTCGCAGTAGAAAGACTTTGATTGTATAAACAGCTTATTGCTTTCATCAGAATTGCATCAAGACTTTTGAGAAGGCGATGAATGAATGAATCGTTCGGGCGTGAGCGTGTCTTGCTGGCAGTGTAAAGCAGTTATCATTCGTTCCTCTATATCCAACAACAGTGGTCTTCCCTGGGAGTTTTCTCATTTATTTTGGGCTTAAAGGAGAGCTATATCTAAGCTCTCATTGCAGGCATTTTTATTTAATTATTCTTTAACTCATTTGGCCAAAAAATCATATTAAAAACGCATACAGGAAGACCACTAACGTTTCGCTTGCGACGCCTGGGGGCATGCAATGGAAATTGCTGCCCTTTCAGCTGTCTCCAGCTCTTCAGCTCTTTGCCGTGTGTTCTTGCCATGGATGGTTAAATGGGGTGCATGGAGTAATAGTTTTACAGGAGAAATCATGGCATGTGAATGAGATTAATGGATACGCAGCTAAGTAAATGATGCGCAAGTCTTTTTGCTTGATACTCACTAAATTGTATGTACTAACCGACATAATGCACTTAAATTTAAATGGAATTTCCAATGGTTTTGTTTGTTTTTCTTTTCCAAGTGTTTTTTAGCACCGTTCGCTGCCTGCCTGGCTGATATGCGAGAGTGTGTGTGTGTGTTCTCGTGTGAGTATATCAAAAATGAACAAGTCAAATAAATCAGCCTTATATTGAATGCAATTTTTATGTTAAAACTAATTTCGCTTTCCAATTATTCAAAAAATGAACACCAACACACACACACGGAAACGCCCAGGGCCGCAGTAACGGTCAAAAAAGGGCTCCAATTTCAATTCAAGCGCCTACCCATACCCTCTAATCGTACAATAAGTAATTTGGGTTATGGAATGGCACCGATTCCGCACCGATTCTTCTTTGCCTTAGTTATACACACACCTATCTGTACTGTACTGTATATGTATATATATGTATATGTATATGTATATGTATGTATATAATGTATTTCAAGTACATTTACTTATGTAGTTATCGTTTAGTGGATGCAACATACCGCGCTGTACCAGCAATCGCTGCGTCGGAACATGCTCCGACCGCCAGCTGCCGATGAGATTTCTAATTTTAATCAAATTTTAATCGTCTCCACAAGGGACAACCCCTAACCCCGCCCCCCCTACTCTTGCTCTGTTCTCTGATCCTCCCTTTCAATCATATCTTAGAGTTAATTTTTATGTGTACACATCAATAACGACGATAAATATTAGAAGAAATATCATAAGTATTTTCCAATCTACATGCATATTCCATATGGTTTCTGCTTACACATACAATTCACGTACACTTGGGCAAATATGCCCGATAATACATAGATATATATATACTCGTATTCTGTTGTTGTTGCTGTTGTTTCTGGTTATATATTCTGTCGGAAGAAGAACTCAAAATTCACCTCATAATGATCGCTCGTCCAAGGAGACAGTGGCTCCTGCTAACTAACATTTAAATATCAATATCAATGAGTAGAAAGTAGAAAGGTATACAATTCTATTACGATTCGATTCGATTTCAATTTCGATTCGATCTGTTCTATGTGTGAGACCGTGGGAGAAACCATGACTGTTCGAGAAATGCTGATGTCTTGGGGCCGTCTCTGTGTATCCGGAAACCGTTTTGCTCAAATCAAAATCAAATTTAAAACTGAGAACAACTCAAAGTCAACTGAAATCGAAAATCAAAAATTAAATGAAAACAGTTTGTGGTTTTTTTTTGGTTTTTTTTGTTTTGTTTAATTATAAATAACAATTGTATATTTTTTAATAAAATGGGTGTTCTTGTTGTGGTGTTTTGTTTTCTTTTCATGAAAAAATTAATTAAAGAGAAATACATATTTCTCGCTATTGAATTAATCTTGATGGATTAAAGCCCAGACCTTTACTGACACTTCCACTGCCCTTCTGCCATCTTTCATCTTCCATCTTCCATCGCTTATGATA